AATTTCTGCTCAGGACAGGGTCTTTTTCACACGAATAGGTAAGAAAAGGGCTTAAGCAAGGTTTAGCAGTTCCTAGCTACTTCTGTTTCATCCTCTTCCTGGATATTGTTACATGTTGCTTAAAGCAAGCAAAGTTCCTCTTGTGTATTCTTGAAGGCTGTACCCCATTCCCCAGACAATTCGTGAGGAAAGAGATCTTCATACAAACTTTGCATAGTTTGACTGTGGCTCAAGTGGTTAAGACGCTGAACTGCAGGCTGTGGAAGGTCGGTAGTTCAGCAGTTCGAGACCCGAGTGTGCCGCATGATGGAATGAGCTCCCGTCTCTAGTTCCAGTTCCTGCCAACCTAGCAGTTCGAAAGCAAGAAATTGCAAGTAGATAAATAGGTACCACTTCGGTGGGAAGGTAACAGCGTTCCGTGCGCCTTGGTGTTTAGTCATGCCGGCCACATGACCACGGAAACGTCTTCGGACAGCGCTGGCTCTTCGGCTTTGAAACGGAGATGAGCACCGCAACCCTAGAGTCGGACTCGACTGGCTTTCGAGCAAGGGAACCTTTACCTACTTACCTTATCTCTTGCTCCAAGATAGTCTTCCTCTTCTTAGCATGTAGGCCTCCTTTTATAACATGGAAACTTTCCATCTTGTCTGTAACCATTTATCCTTTAATACTTTAGCTAATTTCTAACTTGATTCAGGAGTTCTTGGATCCCTGAATGTTGGTTGCACAACACAAGTTAGAACAATCACTTGGCTCTTATGGAGTCTGAGTGAGTGCCAGTGTATGAAATGGGCCTCTCCCCTCCCACCACAGTATTCAGTGCCTCCCCCCATCCCGATTGGGACTCCTGTGTCAGTGGGCACCCAAGGACATCATGGGAATGTCTAGATGGATGCCAGCAGCATGATGTTTGAACTGGTGAAAATCTTCCTTTTCTGTGAGCAAAAAAACTTCAAACAAAATTCTTAATTAAAACAAGTTGACACATGCAGGGTTCTAAAAACAATTGTTGTGCTTCATACAGTTCTCAGTGAGTTTTGGTTAGTGCCCCAGCTGTTCTGTTGTCCAACTGTGCTGGGCCTTTGTTGGAGTATTTAGGTTTTAAACCTTTAGCTGTTGGTTTTAATGCTGGTCCTGCTTCTGTGTAATTTTAAACCTGTTGAATAGTTTGTCAGTTGCTTGCTATCGCTTTTGATGGATTTCCACTCTGCTTTTAATGGATTTCTTCAGTTATCAGAATAAAACAATAAAGATAACTAATAAAAAACCCCAAGCAATTAGGGATGGTTTATTACATTGTTTTAATGATATTTCATGAACCACTTGAGGAAAGGCTTAGATCCTAATCAGTGGGAGCAGAGACTTTAACGTCTTCCCACTGCAGCCTTATGTGCTGACTGAAACTTTGCTCCTGTTGGTCAGTGGATCCCTCAGGAACAGTGTTGGGAGCAAAGCTTGAATCTGCAGCAGGACGGGAGAATTGGGAGCATCTCCTTGTCCTCTTTCGCAACCAGAAAAACTAAATCATTTGGTAGGGAATTACTCTTGTGCTGGCAGAATTGCATCTTAGGGTACAAGCAAAAGTGAGCTGCCAGTATTTAATGTGAAATAAAATTTCAGTGGGCCTACAATACATGTGCCTTCCTAGGATTATGTTCTTCACTTGGGATGTGTTTTTATTGTTATCAGTCACCCTGTCTTTGTAACTTTACGCTTTCTAAGTAATGGAGAAGTAACAGCCTGGTTGGAATTGGGATGAGAGAAAATTGGCTATGAGTTGTTGATAAAAGCTTCATCAAAATAATGGACCTTAGAGAGCTTTGCTAGAAAATATTAGTTGGTCAGCATTCTCTGGTAAAAGAATTTCAAAATGATAAAACCACTAAATTAGAGTTCATCAAGAAGTTCACATGATCTCCCAATAGGGTTGCCAAGTCGGAATTACCTTTTAGCGAGGGGAGTCCTGCACCTCCCCGGGAGTCTTCGTGTGCACACCACAATGACGCCACCCGGAAGTGACGTCATCGCATCGGGCACGTTGGGGGCAGGGCCACAATCATTTGAGGGAAAACCATAGAGTTTTCCCTTGGATGATACAGCGTCCCCCTGCACCATGCCCGATGCGACAATGTCACCTCCGGGTGGTGTCTTCACGCAGGTCACATCTCACACTTTGGGGGCGGGGTTCCCCCCGGTGGCCTGATTCGGGCCGGCAGGGAACGGGCCGATCGAGTGGGGGTTTCCCTGTCCCCCAGGGGGACCTGGCAACCCTATCTCCCAAGTATATAACAAAGACCTGGGATTTCTTAGCCATTAGGGGTGTCAGCTTAGCAAAAGGTGAGAAATTATATTTACTGGTATTGTGAACATTCTCCATTTTTCGTAGTTACATCTGCATTTTACAAAATTACATTTCACCCTGTTCTACTGGAATTTCCTGGTCTTTTGATCTTGCTATTTATCTTAATAACTGTGTGTGTGTAATATCTGCCTTGTGATGGCCCCCATGCAAGTTTAAAATTTCTAAAATAACAGCCATATTTAAAATATCCCTGTCCAGCTCAAAAATTACAATTTAATTCAGTTGTTTACTTTCTTAGAAACCATATTTGCTCTGATTTTCCGAGTGGCCAGAGCAAAAATTGCCATCCTATAGGAGACAAAAGAATCCACATATGGATGTAAAGTGATTATAATCTTAGCCAGAAATTTGTTCCTGGGCTCCAGGTATAAGGGGCAAACCAAGATATAATGGGGGAGGTCTTTCCCTGAACTTCCACATACACAAATAGAAGAAGAGAAGAGATTGGATTTATACCCCGCCCTTCACTACCCAAGGGAGTCTCAGAGCGGCTTACAAACTCCTTTCCCTTCCTCTCCCCACAACAGACACCCTGTGAGGTAGGTGGGGCTGAGAGAACTCTGACACAAACTGCTCTTTTAGGAACAGCTGTGCCAGAGCTTGTGACTGACCCAAGGTCACATCAGCAGGTGCAAGTGGAGGAGTGGTGAATCAAACCCGGTTCTCCAAGATAAGAGTCCGCACACTTAACCACTACACCAAATACGTTGTTATTCCAGTGTTGTTGTTGTTTTTTTAAAAAAAAAAATCCCCCAAGCATCTCCATTGGGTGTGATGACGCTCTACATGCCTCTGATGGTGAGCCTTAATACATGAAAGGTTATACTAGAATTTTTCAAAAATGTCTTCGATAGTGTTAGACTCCTGCTTATTATTGCTAGAACAAATCAAGGTTCAAGAAAATCCCATACTCTTTTAGGTTCTGTGCCTATGGCTTGGGAGAGAGTGAAAGTATCAAATGTGTTCTCCTGGATTGTTCTTTTTACTGTGATATTTGTGCTGTTTTTCTAGAACCTCTTTATCAGAGTCAAGTAGGGCAAACTGATAACTATAAAATCGTTCCACTATTATCTTCCCATAATCCTGAGATCATAGAATCTGTAGCTAAATTTCTCTGTTGTGCTACTAAGAGGAGAAGATTGTTTCAATTGCAAGGGTAAAGGACATATCCTTGTCTCCCTGCAGTATGTTCTGTCGATATGCCAATAAAGGTTCTGATTGATTGATTGATTGATTATTGCTAGAAAAGAGTCTCTCAGTAGTAAAAAATTTCTGCTATTTTAGTGTTAACATGTGAGAACTTTCCTGAGATTCTTGCAGGCAGAGCTCACAGAGCATGAGAAAATGAGAAAGGAGTTTATGATCATTTGGCTGACTAATGGAATATAAACTGAAGGGAGCCTCCATACCTAGAGGCGGCAAACCTCTGCAGTACCAGCTTTGGGAGGCAGCAGCAGGGCCCTCACCTTGTCCTCTGTGTCTTGTTTGATCCTCCAGGCCAGCTGTTTGGCCTCTTTGTGAAACAGGATGCTGGGCTACATAGACCATGAACTGGATCCAGCAAGCTTTTCTGTGTTCTTAAAAGAAAATGGGGGGAAATGATCAAAGTGTCTCAGTGCAGTAGTTCAACTCACCATTGATGTAAAATAATAAAAGAGTGTCCGTTCCATTATTTCCCCTATTGTTACTGTGTTATGCCAATAAAAGTCTATGTTATGTTATGTACCTAAAAGAGTGTCATATTGAAGGCAGTGTGCAAATACACATAACACTCCTTCGCTAACCAGTGAAGCAAAATCAGTCTAAGATGTGTGGTGCAGTTTGGGTATCTCCTCCTTCAAGTATAAATAACAGTTTTCCTCCTTCCTCCATCAGCTTTTTAAGGTTTACAGAAGTTAGGTATTTGTTATTACCAGTACTTTTATAATGTCCTTCAAGACACAGTTTGGCTCTGAAACTCTGTCTGGTTTCTCTGTGTGTTGATTTGGTCTTGCTGTAATCAGTGTAGCTACAAATCTTGTGTACTCAGGGTAAATAAAGCCTGCATTTAGCTCTCAGTTGTGAACAGTGTGTTCCATTGGAAAGAATCATAGTTATTGACAGACCATTTCTTTAACGTTGGCGCTTCAGCAAATGTTCACGTGACCATTATGTGTGTTTTCCCACAACTCAGGATGTACTTTGAATCCCCGTTGTCTTTAGTTCCCACCCTGTTACCTGAGTTATCCTCCATCACTTTCTCAGCAGCAGCAACTCAAAGCCCTTTCTCTTGCTGCCCTAAGAACATCTTGTTACTGAGGGGAAGGGTTATATCAGAAAACCAGGAAGGCTCCCCAGATTCATGAGAGAGACAGTGTGGGTCCCCTCGATTTCAAGAAAGGGCCTGCCGTACAAGCCTGTGAAATATTCATGGTAAATAAACTGGTTAGACTATGAAGTCTGACCAAAGACATAACATTGTTTCTGCAAGTTACATTGGCAAGAGTGTTCTTTGCTCAGTGTGTGCACGTTAAACATAGCAATGCTGATATGCTGCTGCTCACCTCCTCCAATGTAACTTGGTGGTTCAGTTATGTGCCTCTTTTAAAAGCAGTACTTGTATCATTCATTTACATCTTTTCCTCCCTTTCTTTCATAGGTAATTGGACTACTAGATGTTTTCACTCCAGATGTGTCACTTGAGAAATTTAACGATTTGTAAGTTTATAATGTGTGTGTAAAATGTTGTGTATTGTACAATGATTTCAATTTCATACTTCATTTAAACATCCTTCTTCCAACACAGGGTGGCAATCATGTCCCTCCTCCATTTGGATTTATCACTTGAGTTTTTCCTTAGTTTTTGGTTTAACATACATGCATGCAGGCTATATTTCATTTGCTTTGGCTTGTATTTGAAGACTGAATTACCTCTTTAAATAAAAATAGTTAGACCAGATGCAGCTGGGAGACGTTTTATACTTCATGATTGTCACCAGGAGATGATGGTGAGTTCTCAAAAGAGCTCTGCAATGCAGTCTGAATGGCCCTCATGTGTACATATTCATGTTCATCTACACGTACATATATAGGTGCCTTATACTGAGTGAGACCATTGGTCTTTCTAGTTCAGCATAGTCTACTCTGCTTGTCTGGCAACAGCTGGATAGGGAATAGAGCAGAGTTCTTCCCCAACATCAGCTACCTTGAGAGTCTTAGCTTGCATGCTAAGGACTGAATCTTTTTTACCTTCTACATACAAAGCATGTGGTCTACCACTGACCCATGATGCACTTTTTCTTAATCAGAATGTCTTTCCACTTCTACTGTGGTGTAACTGAATGCTAGGGAGCATGAACAATATGAAATTGTGCTTCAGTTGACAAAAAATAGTTATGCTCTAGGCTACTGTGGAAGCAAACCTAAATAGGAATACTTAGAAGTAAGGTCTATATTGTTCAGTGGGGCCCACTCCCAGAAGAATGTATTATAGAAGTCTTGATGACTAAACTTTAAGTTGTGAATAGGCTATTTTGGTGCTTAAAGGGTTACTTGAGTAACTGGAAGACCACATCTTCTTCAACCAGCTGGTTGAATAAGTTCTGTGTAAAAGGCCGAAGAATAGATTTGTTTGAACTATGGTGCTGGAGAAGACTCTTGAGAGTCCCTTGGACTGCAAGAAGATCAAATCAGTCAATCCTAAAAGAAATCAACCCTGACTGTTCCCTGGAAGGGCCAGATAATGAAACTGAAGCTCAAATACTTTTGCCACCAAATGAGAAGGGAGCACTCACTGGAGAACACCCTGATGCTGGGAAAGATTGAAGGTCAAAGAAGACCGGGACGGCAAAGGATGAGATAGTTAGACAGTGTCATAAATGCAACGAACATGAAATTGAGCAAACTTCAGAGGACGGCGGAAGACAGGAAGGCCTGGCGTGATCTGTTCCATGGGGTCGCGAAGAGTCGGACTCAACTATGCGACTGAACAACAACAACAAAAAAGCTTATTGGCGTGAATGACTATGTCAAAGAGAAATTCCTTGAAACAGACAAGAAAAAGACTGTTCACATATGAAAGTGTATCTCACCTTTATACTTTAATTGCACACACGATTCGATTCCAGTTTGCTTGCTAGTAGGCAATTGACTCCCATCAGTTTATCCCTTTCTTTAGTTTGTGTTCTAGTTGTAAATTAGCAGTGCTCTATGTGATCTGTGTTAATCTTATGCATGGATTTCTGTTTTTTTTGTTATTTATTTTATTTTTATTTTATTTGTTCGATTTATACCCCGCCCTTCCTGCCAAAACGGGCTCAGGGTGGCTTACATAAAATGTATATAAATACAATTAAAAACATACATAAAACATCATATAAAATATAAATATAATTTTTTTTAAAATCCTGCAGCAATTCTGCTGCTTTGGCAAACTACTCTCTAGCTTTCCAGGTGTAAATGGAGCAATTATTAAGCTAGTTCCAATTCACTTTGAAATATTCATTAACTGTACTAAAATCATGGAGAAGAGTGGGTGTCTTATGTTTTCATATTTCAGAAACAGCTACACTAAATATAGCCAAGGGAAGCTGAAATTATTCAGATTTTTTCCTCTTTTCTCCTTTCTTTCCCCCTGCACTGTTGTGTGAATTGCACTTCTCCTACTTTGAAACATAAATTCTAGATTAAATGAAATAGTTTGGGATTTCCATAACACCTTAAGTCTCACCTAGAAGCAGGCCTTATTGTGGTCAGAGAGACTTATTTCTGAGTAAACATCCAGAAGACTAGAATGTAAGTCAGTGTGGTGTCTAACGTCTGTGTGGAAACTTGAAAGTAGATATTCTGAGTTTCCTAATTATGCTATTCCCTCACATTATTAATATTTAAGGCCTTTGTCCTATCTTCAACATTGATTAGATATTCCAAATTTGTTTCAGTGTCATCTTTGGAGAATCCAAGCAACAGAATGATCTTCGTCATGGTCTCTGTGCAGTTCCACACATGGTTGGGCGCCTGCGCATGACCTCGACCGGAGAAACTTCTAGAGCTTTGCCTCAGAAACCTTTTTGTGAGCTCACTTCCCACCCTGGGGGAAAGACACAAACTGCGCATGCTTGGAGCGGGGGGGAGAGCCGCCTCCCACTCAGTTCTTCTTTGACCGCCCGCATGTTCACACCTCGTTCCTGTTGCTCTCTGTATTTTGCCACAGCTGAGTATATTTGTTCATCTGCCTTCTTCGGTTTTTGTTTCTTTGCTTCACTCTTCTTTCCCCTCTATTTCTACCAAAAAAAGAAAGAAAGAAAGACCTTTTTTTCTTCACTTTTTTCTTCCCCCCCCCATTTGGGGGGTGGAGAGGAGAATGTATGGGCAAAACAAAGTTTTTTAAAGTGTGTCATTGTTGCCCAGCTAAGATACCTTTGAACGACGGTCACGATTTTTGCCTTCTTTGTCTGGAGGAATCCCGTAGGGTCGATAGCTGCGTCCATTGTGCTAGTTTTACTAGGCAAGCTAGACATAATAGGGAGGCTCGGCATAGGGCTGTCCTTTTAGAGGCAGCTTTGCCCCCTACGATGTCTTCAGCTGCTTCTCATTCTTCTGTCCCTCAAAGATTGGATGGGGCTCCGAAGGCACCAAAGCTAAAACCTAAACGGCCTGAGGATAAGGCTCCATCAAAATCGAAAGTCAAGTCCTCGACATCAGCTTCGACTTCGGCTATTGACCTGGTCGTCATCACCAATTTAACGACATCGACTTCTGCTGTAGCTGTTGTGTCCCACAAGTCCACTTTGCGGCCTCTGACACCACTGCCTATGCTCTCTTCAGCGTCTGGCCTTATTCCGCTGGGTCAGTCCATGAGATCGCCTCCCGACTTGTCGTCTCACCGGGACTCTCGATCTCCGTCTCCACACTCCCATACCCTGATTTGGAGGGCAGGGAGAATTCTGTCGGCTGACGTTCTCGCTCTCGATATGATTGAAACGATCTCATTCGTCGTCTATCGCCTTCCCCCTTGGGATCGCCTTCTGATGACCAATACTAGTCTCTTGATGAACGACATTGGCCTGCGTATTATCCTTACTACTATTCAAGGTTTTCTACTCCTCAGCAGCACCACTATGATCAGCTACGTCACTCTGAATTTACTGAGCATTGACACATTTTGGATCACGCCAGATGTTCTCGATCCGTGACTTTGACCCGCTCTGTGGCTCCTGACCAGCCTCCTGAGCTCTTGAGACCTAGGGATGCCCTGAAGTGTTCTCCCTCAGAACCTCGGCTTCATCCCCTTGCTGATGACCAGATACCGGCTGATCTCACTCAACCGCTGAGATCATCCTCTCCCATGTCGATCTCTGACGACTCGGACTTGGGAGACCTAGAACTCGACGTTCCACACATCGACAATGAGCCTCTGCGCCCGGGTTCTATTCCCCCCACTGAGGGCCTGAAAGCTTATTTGGAACTGGTAACCAGGATGGCCTCTGTGCTTCAAGTCCTGGGTTCCACTGAGTCCCCTGCTGTGACCGATGTTGTTCACAAGGTGGTTCAGGCCAACCTTCTACGGTCCTGCCTCAGCTGCCGTTCTGCCTTTCTGCCCTTAAAGAGTTTCTCTTCAGTCAGCCTCCACCGAATTCAATGGTGGTACATTCTTCCTTGAAATGGAAGCAATCTGCCCGCCACTCGGCGCCTCCCGATCGAGAGGGTCGCAAGGTTGATGCTATTGCGAAGAAGATGTATTCCTTTACCTCTATGAACCTTTGTATTGAGACCTACCTGTCATACCTGTTGGCTTATGCTTTTAATGTGGCTAATGCAGTACGTCCTGTCTTGGAGTTCTTCTTTTCGTTGTCAGGGACTTTGTCGGAAATTTGTACAATCTCGAAACAGCAGATCAATTCAGTCCATCATGCTGTCACTTGCTCCTCAAAGGTCCTTGTTTCCTCTGTCACCCTCCGTCATCATGCTTGGCTAAGAGGTACCTCTTTACAGCCCAATGTGAAATTTCAGATTGAGGACCTCCTGTTCGATGGCGGTCTCTTCCACTCCACCACTGATGAGGCCTTAAAAGCCATTGATGATAGTCGGAAGCAGGCTCGGAACCTGGGTGTCTCGACCTCAACGCTTTGACATTGGTACCGTTCTTGGAAGCCATATTATGCAAGGCACCAGCCGTCACCCATCTCCCAATGGAGAAAAAGGCCCTATGACTCCCATCACTCGAATAGGACATGCCAACAGGCTCCTAAAAAACCCCAGCAGGCCAAGATGTCCGTTTGACCACTTCGATCACCTGCTGTCTCCTCCGTCGTACACCCCTCCCGTCTGGACCCGACTCTTCCCCTTTCTGCCAATGTGGGAAGGAATTTCCACCGATTCCTGGGTCCTTACCATCCTACGGGTCGGGTACGCCATAGAGTTCATTTTGCCTCCTGACCTACCACACTTTGTCATCACACCCCCGGATCCTCTCCTCCATCTTGAGATTTCCGCGCTTCTGGCCAAGGGCGCCATCAAGGTCATCCCAGAGGTGCAACGAACCCTAGGCTTCTACTCCAAATATTTCCTCGTACCGAAGAGGGATGGCGGCTTCAGGGCCATTATGGATCTTCGGGATCTGAATCGATACGTTCGATGCCACAAATTCCGAATGGTCACCTTACAGGCTATTCTTCCACTGATTCCCAAGGCTGCATGGCTAGCATCTGTCGATCTCCAGGACGCGCATTTTCATGTAACTATCCGTCCCCAACATTGAAAGTTCCTGTGTTTCGATGTCAGCAACGCACACTACCAATACCGGGTACTTCCGTTCAGATGCTGCACTGCCCAGAGGGTTTTTACCAAGCTGATGGCTGTGGTGACTGCAGATTGCCCTGTATCCCTATATCGACGACTGGCTTCTTGTGGCCACCATGCAAGACCAGGTCCTCCAAGATGTCCAAATGACCCTGTCCCTCCTTCGTGCCCTCGGGCTTTGTGTCAACCTACCCAAGTCGTCTCTCCGACCTGTACAGGTCCTTCAATTTCTGGGTGCCCGGCTCGATACCAATCTCAAGACCGCATTTCTCCTGAACTCAAGGGCCTCCAACATACTCTCACTGGTCTCGCAGTTCCAGACCTCTCCCTGCCAGTCCGCTCGGTCCGCCATGAGGCTCCTGGGGCACTTTGTGTCTACTGTCTTCATCGTCCGTCATGCCAGGTTGAGGATGCGTCCCCCCCAACTGTGGCTTCTTTGTGCCTTCAACCTTCTCCGCAGTCTGTAGCACAAAATCCTGTCGATCCCACCCCTTGTCGTCAACTCCCTCACCTGGTGGTCTCATCCTCAGCACCTGCTCTCCGGCATGCCCTTTCAGCATCCTCCTCCGCAAGTGTCGATCTCCACCGATGCATCCCTCTGGGGTTGGGGAGCCCAGTGTGGAATGTCCTGGAGCTGCATGCGGCTGATCTTGCTCTTCGCTCTTTCCCCCCTGGTGCTTCGAGGCTGAGTCGTTCGGGTTGCCTCCAACAACACCACCACAGTTTACTACATAAACAAGCAGGGCGGGACTACCTCCCTTCATCTTTGCCAGTCAGCCATCAATCTCTGGAGCTGGTGCCTCCAACATTCCATCATGCTTTCTGCGATACACATTCCGGGCATTCAAAACATCGATGCCGATCAATTGAGCCACTCCCACTCGTCGACCAACGAATGGTCCATCCCCCTTCAATACCTGAAACCTGTCTTTCTCAAGTTTTGTCACCCTGTCATCAACGGCTTTGCAACTGCAGACAATGCCCAGTGTTGCCTCTTTTTCAGCCGCAGTCCGCCATCTGCTCAGTCGCTGGGAGATGCCTTTCTCCACACCTGGAAGGGAACCCTATTCTACTTTTTCCCTCTGTTCACCCTTATCTCCCGTGTCATTCAGAAGATTGTGGCCGATGCCACGTTGTGCATCCTTGTCACTCCATGGTGGCTGCGCCAAGTCTGGTTTCCGCACCTCCTTCATCTCTCCAATCAGATGTTCCAGCCGCTGCCTGTCATCCCCAATCTCCTGTCTCGGGCTTGAGGAAGGATCCTGCACCCCAATCCGGGCTTCTTCAGATTGACGGCCTGGAAGATCCTGCACTAGACTTCTCGCCTGAAGTGTGTGGTCCTCCTGAATGCCAGGAAGCCCTCTACCCGTGCCACTTACTCTTTGAAGAGGTTCCAGTCGTATGCCTCCAATCACTCCTTTGATCCCGTCCAGTCGTCTCTCCGTGAGATTTTTTCCTACGTCGTCTCATTAAAAAGTAATGGCCTTGCATACTCATCGTCATTAAAGGTCCATTTAGCGGCCATCTCCGCCTACCATCCCTTGATACAGGGATCCACAGTCTTTTCCCACCGTCTTACAAAGTCGTTCCTTAAAGTTCTCCTCTAGCTCTGTCCCCCTAGGAAGCCTTTGGTGCCTTCGTGGAGTCTGTCACTCGTTCTCACTCAACTTATGTCCAAGTTGTTCGAGCCCATGACTACAGTCGATCTCAGGTTGCTCTCCTGGAATAATTACTACTGCACGCAGAGTAGGGGAACTAGCTGCCTTTTGGGCTGATCCCCCCTATACAATTTTTCATAGGGAGAAGGTTGTCCTTAGACCAGATCCTTCTTTCCTGCCTAAAGTCATTTCTGCTTTTCACCTGTCCCAGTCATCTGTCTTACCTTCTTTCTTTCCGAATCCAACTGATGCTCCTCAGAGAGCCCTCCACTGCCTCGATGTGCACAGAGTGCTCTCTTTTTATTTACATAGGACTCAGCCTATACATAAATTTCCTCCGCTGTTCCTTGCCTATGGCCCCCCTCATTTGGGGGAGCCAATTTCCTCTCAACGTTTGTCTAAATGGGTGACTTCCACCATAGTCCTTTGCTATGAGCTTGCACCCGTTCCTACCTGTGTCACTTCCCATCCACCACTTTCCTGGCTGGTGTTCCAGCAGAGGACGTCTGTGCGGTTGCTACGTGGTCCTCATCATCAACCTTCATGACCCACTACACACTCGACGGCCAAGCTCGACAGGATGCTGCATTTGGCCAGTCGGTGCTGCGATCTCTATTCGCTTGACCCTGCTGTGTCCCCAGGTAGGACCCTTGGGTGTTTTTTCTCACGGATGACGCTGTGTCTTAACCAGTATTCTTTGTGTTTTTTGCAGCTGCCAACTCCCTCCTCCAACTGGTTCAGCTCTTGTAATCACCCATGTGTGGGACTGCACAGAGACCACGACGAAGATAAACAGGTTGCTTACCTGTAACTGATGATCTTCAAGTGGTCATCTATGCAGTACCACAATCCCACCTGGCCTTCCCCACTGCTGGCATCTCCTGTTCACCTTTCTTTGGCTTGATGGGACTTACTGGTAGCGGTCGAAGGAACTGAGTGGGAGGCGGCTCTCTCCCCCACTCCAGGCATGCGCAGTACGTGCCGGCTCCCCAGGCTGGGAAGAGAGCCCGCCAAAAGCTTTCTGAGGCAAAGCTCTAGAAGTTTCTTCAGTCAAGGTCGTGCGCAGGCGCCCAACCATATGTGGAACTGCACAGATGACCACTCGAAGATCATCAGCTACAGGTAAGCAACCTGTTTTTTCAATAGAAAGATTCTGCTTTTGTCCCCACCCCCCACCCCCAATTCTTGTTCTCACTTTCTACGATCTAGGATTGGCTTGAAGTAATTAATAACTGCATTGAATTAAACTAGTTTCATTCTTGAATATTGTTTATACATTCACATTCAGTGCTGATGTGTACTGTCAATACCATTTTATATTTTTCTCCCTATTCAGATAGCATATCAATGACAATTTCCTGCCGCGTGAATGAACGGATGTATCACCATATAAAAAAGTTTCCAAGATACCACTTCTGCAAAAATGTCAAATGTTTATTTTAAGTGGTTATTTTATTAACTAAATAATAATAAAAATTACTGTGCATTATAAAAAATACACTGATAGTGCAGTCCTAAGTAGTTGTACCCTTCTAAGCCTATTGTCTGCTGACTTTAGGACTGCACTGCCCCCCCCCCCAATTATTTTGTGTTTGATTTCTTTTACAGCTACCTCGTCATGCCATTTATGGGAACAGATCTGAGTAAAATAATGAAACATGAGAAGCTATCTGAAGATAGGATCCAGTTCCTGGTCTATCAGATGTTAAAGGGCCTAAAGGTTAGAGCTACCTATATGCATATGTTTGTTTATAAACTTCAGATTCCCTGGGTTAGGTGCTCAAGCAGTGAAATCAGTGGGCTTATAGTGGTGTGACTTCACATATGATTGAATTATAAGAAAAGAGAACAGTTGCTCATTCCAAGGTTTTTCATGCTTTTGAACATCTACATAGAACTGCTGGTCACGGTTGCCTGGGGATTTGGAGTGAAGTACTGCCGCTATGTGGCTGTTTGGGTGATTTGGGTGAGGCAGTGGATATTTTAAACCATTGCTTGGACACAATAGAATGGGGGAGGGTTAATACACTATAGCTCAGTCCATATTAGATGGAGGTGATATTGGATGAAAAATATGGCCAGTCAGGAATGAGGACAAAGCCTATTCTGGATGAATTTATACTCCCCCTGCTAAGGAGGTTTGCATTTGGAAGTGGTGCTAGAATCAGAGCTACTGATGGAGGCAGAGATGTCCTCTGTAGTACATAGTGCTTTTTACCAGCTTTGGCTGGTCTGCAACCTGTGGGCCTTCCACTTTTTCTCATTTTATGACGTTAGATAGGTCAACATCAAGGAGGGCTTTCTGAATAGCAATGCCCTACTTGTAGAACGCTTCCTCCTCAATTTACCTGGGGCCTGGTATAATATTTGTTGATTCCCCCTCCTCCTTCTCTTTCTTCTCTTTGTCTTTTTGAGTTTAGTATGGGTAACATTGACCCACTGGTTTTATCTCTTTAATGCTCCTCTGTGTATGTTCTCGTTCTCGTTCTCGTTCTCGTTCTCTCTCTCTCTCTCTCTCTCTCTCTCGTGCTCTTTCTCTCTCTCTCTCTCTCTCTCTCTCTCTCTCTCTCATATGTCTGTATATATTTTAATAGGTTTTGCTGGCTTTGCTTTTTTAAAAAGTTCTGATGTTGGCAACTTTTGTTTGGGTTAATAATATCTACTATTTCATTGTGACGTGTATTTGATTTTAACTGTAAACTACCCCAAGAAACATCTGTTTGAAGACTGTATATAAATAATAAAAAGTGATTTCCCCAGCCTGACATGGCAGCTTAGGTCTGTGTGTCTGTAGCCCGCATGAAAGAACACCCAGTTGCACCAATCCACTGTTCAGCAGTAAGGCTGATTTTAGTCCCTCCACCTTACCTGCCTAACATATTTTTCAGAGCTATGTAAAAATACTGCTGGGTCTGGGCTTGAAGTATGTTACATGGATTTTTAATACTTCTCTTATAGAGAAGAAAAGTGGGGACCTGCAAGAAATTTGCAGGAGTGATTATCCCATTCCCCCCACCTCTGCTTCTTCCCCTCTCCCCTATTTCTCTCACACACTTTCTCCTTCCTGCCACCCCTTTTCTTTCTCTCTTTCTCCCCCCTCCATGCCTGTCACTTCCTTTCTGCCCCCACCCTATCACTCTTTCTGCCCCTGTCACTCTCACAGCCTCCCACCTACTCCCCCCCCCACAGCAGCAGTGGCAGCAGCCACTCTCCAGGAATCACAATGAATTGCCCGAATACAGAGTTCAGTTTCTCTTAGGGTTGCCAGCTCCATGTTGTCAAATATTTGGATATTTGGGAGTGAAGCCTTGGGAGGGGATGAGGTTTGAGCTTGGAAGTGACCTCATCAGGGTATAATACCATAAACTCCACCCTTCAAAGCAGCCATTTTCTCCGGGGAAACTGATCTCCGTCATCTGAAGATCAATTGTAATTCCAGGAGATCTCCAGCCCTCACCTGGAGGCTGGCAACATTCATTCTCTTGGGGGAAATGACTGCTTTGGAGGGTGGAGTCTATGGTATTATCTCTGAAGTCCCTCCCTGCCTCAGTCCCAGCATCCCCAGGCTCCACCCCTCAAATATCCAGGAATTTCCCAACCCATCACCTTCTCATCCAACAGCCAACCTACCTTTATCTGCCCCTCTGTCTTCAGCTTTCCATCTCTTTCACCCATGCAGCTTCTACTGAGGAAAACACTGGTCTTTCTCCACAGTGGGGACTAAAGCAGTTGACATTATTCTATTCTCCTTTTTATCCACACAACAACCCTGTGTATTGGGGGGGATTCAACTCTCCCTGAGGTGTTGTGGTTTTTTTTTTTTACTTTCTGGATTTTCTGAAGACCCAGGAAGTCCCCTGAGTCTGTAGGAAAAGCTGTTGGGGGAGAGTGGGCTCTCTTTTGGCGGAAATAAGTATCTGCAAGGAGACCAGAGTTTGGGAAATAGTGTATAGATTGTATTTTCTCTCCTGAGTGTTGATTATACTGAAATGACAGCACCTATTTTAAAAGACATTGTTGCCTGTTCTTATTGTGGTGTACTTCTTCAAAAACATGCTCAGCAGAAGTGAAATTTGATTGCAGAATGTGTCCTAGATTTGCTGGCTCAGACCCAGTTTCTTTTTCCTGCATTTGTAGCCATCCCTAGATAATAAAAGCACATGGAAGCAGACTGTATAACTGGAAGAAAAGAGCATACAAGAAAAATGAAAATAGGATGGTTAATGTACATCGGAAATTTAGACATTAAGATTTCTAATGTTTCAGCTCTTCTCCTGTACAGCAATAATTTCTACTGCATACTACAGAAGAATTACATTGTAGTCCTAAGCAGATGTATACTCTTCTAAATCAAATGGCCTTAGAGGGGTATAACTATGCTTAGGATTGTATTGTCTCCCCTAAAATGATCCCTCCATCTTTCATAACTTCTTTGATAACAACTGGAAATGCTTTCCCAGAATATTTTTTTAAAAAACTTTAGGCAACCAAGGACTATCTCCTTGTTTTGTAATGGTTTTCTTTTGTCTTCATTTTCCACAGAGAAAACAGCTCAATTTGGACACAGAGGCTAAGGGGAAACATGGCTATTCCTTTCTGTCCCATCCACTGTGGACAAAATTGTATGGTCGATTTCCAGACTGAAACTTTGGGGTGGGGGGGGAGCAAAATAGAAACCACTAGAACTTTAAAATCAAATTAAAATTAATACTCTAGATTTGGACCTAGGGATGATAACATCGTCCCCGAAGAGCTGAAGTTCTAACAAAGGCACATGGTCAGAAGCACACATTACACAAGCACTGTGTGCTATGCTTCCTTGGTGTCCAGTAAAACCAGTTCTGTTCCACAAAGTTACTACAGGCGTCATCTTACAAGATACATTTTTTTATTTTTTTTACTCCTGATTTTGCCATTTGAAGTTAACAGGTGAAGAAAGCCAGATTAAAATTGCCCGCCTGTCTTTTACACTAGACAATAAGGACAAAAACCATAGGGAAGCCAGTGTAGCCTAGTGGTTAGAGTATGGACTAGAATCTGGGAGACCCAAGTTCAAATCCCTGATCTGCCTTGAAGCTTCTGAGTGATTTTGGGCCATTCACTCTCTTCCAGCCTAACTGATCTCACAAGGTTGTCATGAGGATGGAAAGGGAAAACCTCAGACTCTACACGGAAGCACAGTAAAGCTTGTAATGTGATCATTAGTTCCTTGTTTGCAGCACACACCATTGCTTGCTGGTTCTGTCTTCTAGCATGTGCTCAAGATAAGCAGACATAATACCTATCTGGAAATATCACAAAAGAGATTAGCTACTTGTAATACATTGTCAATTTCTATGTCTGGGCAGTGATCACGCTGGCACTCATGCTGTTCTAGGCTCACCTTAGTGCTGTTAAGCTGTTGTTTCCAGGTACACTCCATATGTTTTATTTTAACACTGTTTGCTAAGTATACCTACTATTGCAGACATGTTTGTCACATGCAGCTTTGCTTATACCCAGTTGCTCTTTATCTCCAGATCAGTTTATAGTCTCAGAACCACTGCATGTGGATGGGGGGAGGGAAGTGGCTGCATGGACCAGGCTCTGCACATTTGCATTTAAACTGGGCCTTAGCCTACTTTCTTCATAACAAAAACAACGTGCCATACTTTGTTACCATGCAGTTTTGTTGATAGTTATGTGGTGTAATAGCATATTGATAGAGAAGATTAAAGTCCAGGTGGAATCAGTAAGGCTTTCTTTGGTTAACTCCACACTGGTATTTTTCCTCTGTCTTAGCTTCCAAATGGCAGCATTTGGGTGGGTGCATTGGTTGAAGCTTCCATACAGTGCTATGCTGTCCAGTTGACAAGTTTCTCCCATGCTCAATTTGCTCTTTCCAAAGTATTGTGTAGTGGGTTGCCGCATGGAGAAACGACAGATGACGACGTAGTGCATAGCACGCTTTATTGGTACACAACAAGGACGAGGGAACCACGGCCCGGGGGCCAACTATATACATCCCTGGGGACACACCCCTGGTCACCATTGGTGGGTTTGAATCTCCCGCCATGGTTCCCATTGGCTCCCCAGTGGAGGGACTAGGAGGCTAGTCCCTATTGTTATCCCAGAGTCAAGCTCTGGCAATTCTGGCTGACCGCTGGCCCCCCTGTGGCAGTCTGCATACACAACACAAAGCATTCTTTACTCTGATTGTTTTGGAAAGAATGCTGTCTAAGTGTGTTAACATGTTATCTGGAAGGAATAGTGCACATTTTCCTTTCTCGCAAAGCTCATGCCCATAGAGGTACCCCACTTTTTTTTCCCCTGCCACATCAGTGGAGGATTTTTTGAGGGCTTGTTTAGGGGGAAAACAAGCCCTCAAAAAAGGTAATCAATCTAGCACTGTAACAATGTACTGCCCCTTATCTATTTAAATCCTAATAGAGCCCTTGTAGAGCTATTTCACACATAAAGAAAAGGACAGGAGGAGGCTACTGAATTGCCTTGGCAGCTGTGATGACCACACTCCTGAGAATCAGTACAGAGTTGCTGTGGAGCACTTGAGGAATGGAGAAGTTGGGGGAAAACAGAGGAAAGTGTGCAGGAGACTTCCATGTATGGAAGTTCTGGCACAAGTTCATGTGCCTCTGCATTTGTAGTGACAACGAATGGAACACAGAGAATGCCAACTAAGGGGAAAGTAGTCTGCAGCCCCTCATTCCAAATGGTGCACAC